TTGGGGGGGGGAGGGGGCCCTTCGAGGGGCCTTTTGGGACAACCCCTTTGCCGGGGTTCGCCCCGGTTCCCCTTTGTCCCGGGGGCCGGGGGGGGGCTCCGGGGGGGGCCACAACGGGCGGTGGGGACGGTGACGACCGGTGTCGGACGCCAGTGGCGAAGATGGGCGCGACCGGCGGAAGGCGGCGACGACAGCGACGGAAGGGGCCGTCGACGGTGACGGAGGGGGCGAGGGCGGGGGCGCGCACAGCGCGCTGCAAACCTCTTCCTCGTCGTCAGCGCAGAGCGAGCCGCACTCCTCTTCCTCGTCGTCAGCGCAGAGCGAGCCGCACTCCTCTTCCTCGTCGTCAGCGCAGAGCGAGCCGCACTCCTCTTCCTCGTCGTCAGCGCAGAGCGAGCCGCACTCCTCTTCCTCGTCGTCAGCGCAGAGCGAGCCGCACTCCTCTTCCTCGTCGTCAGCGCAGAGCGAGCCGCACTCCTCTTCCTCGTCGTCAGCGCAGAGCGAGCCGCACTCCTCTTCCTCGTCGTCAGCGCAGAGCGAGCCGCACTCCTCGTTGTCGTCCCGGCAGAGCGAGCCGCACTCCTCCTCGTCGTCGTCCGCGCTGCAGAGCGACCCACACGATTCTGGCGCTGTCGGCTCCGGCGTCGGTGGCGGCTTCGGCGGCGGTGATGGCGGCGGTGATGGCGGGCAGAGCGAGGCGAGACCGCACCCCGTTGATGGAGACGAGGGGTCGGAGGGTAGGGTGGTTTCTTCTAGCTTGCGCGAAGCACGCGCAAGAGAGCTCGCCTCGGGAGGGGGCGCACACGCTTTGCACGCGCGGAAGCGCCGCGAGACCGCAAGCTCGGCACGCTCCATGTCGTAGCCGTATGCGTCAGCCCACCACAGCACCTTGTCGCCGCACGTCTGCGAGCCCTCTGCCATTGCGTCCCAGACTGGGCAGTTCGACGGGAGTAGGCCGATGGCGCTGGAGGCGCCAAGGGAAGGACCGAGTGTGTCTGCACCCGAGGGCACAGCGCCGGCGCCACGATCCGGGAGCAGCATGGCGGATGGGGATGGCGTCGGCGCCGCCTTGCGCGTCGCTGACGCCGCCTGGATGAAGACTTGCTGGCGGGGGTAGAGGCGATTGAGCCTCTCGCTATCGCCCAAGCCAGACGCGGTCAGGCCATTGACGTCGTAAGCATGCGCGCTGCCTCCCGCCTCGGCCTTGCCGTCCACCTCGAGGTTCCAGAGGTAGTCCACCGGCTCACGATCCACCTCAAGGCCCGGCAGCAAATCGCGGCGGTGCGCCTCGCCGGCCTCGACCCATGAGCCGTTGAGGTGGAGCGGGTGGTCGAGCGTGCCGTACAGGGGTCCGTGCTCGGTCGGCAGCCGGAACCGCCGCACCGTCGCGTGGACCGGATGGCGGAGGACCTGGGAGATGCTACCCACGCCGAGGCGCGAGGCGACACGCATGCCCACCTGGTGGGACGGGGGCGGAGGATGTGGTTGGCGCGGACCAAAGCTAGCGGAAAACATGCGCGCGGGTGCGATCGGGTACCTCAGCCATTGAGAGCGCAATCCGACTGCCGTTGGCAAGGAGGAGGCGCGAGTCCCCGAAGAAGCACGCGGGGTCCTCGGCTACGTCCCCTCCCGAGCCGCCGCTCGCGGGCCGCGCGCCGCAATCATCGCAATCAGTTCCGGGATCGCACACCGCTTGATAGCCGTCAACCCCGTCGGAGCACATCCCGTTGGAGGCGAAGATCGAGGCAAGGCCCCTGTCTTCCCCGTCTTTCGTGCAGGTGTTCTCGCAGATCATGCGCGCCATAGACTGCGGCGCGTCATCCCAGTCCTCGCTGACGTAGCTGCGAGCCGAGTACTCGAGCGGAGCATGCGGCGGTGTGATGCCGTAGAGGCCCTCCAAGAGCTGGTCGGCGAGCACGATGGCGCCCTCCGCCCACGACGGTACGGGTGAGAAGGCCTCATTCACCAGGTGGATGTTCTGGTCGACGAGGAAGCTCTCGAGCACCGGGAGCTGGTTGGCGTCTGTCCAGTAGTGCCAGCCCGCATTGGCCCACGGCGATGCCACGTTCCAAGTCGCCAACACACCCTCGGTGGGTGCCGCAACTTGAGACGGGTCGAGGTTGTGGTACTCGCACACCTTTGCGTGCACGTCCGCCAGGGCCACAGCGCCGTCGGTCAACTCGCTCATGTAGGTCACAACCTCGCTTCGCTCCTTCTGGAAGCGGCCGAAGTAGCTCTGCGTGTTGCCGGTGAAGTCCTGCGAGGGAGTTGGGAGGGCCGTGCGTCAGAAACACAATGGGCGAAGACTGGCTTTAGCCGAGCGCACCCAAAAGTACTGCGTCTGCAAGAATCCGTGACAGGTTGTCTTGTCGGCGTTGCACTTGACATCGCCGTCGTGGTACCTATGACAGTGCTCAGAAGCGATGAAGTCTGCGGGTCAGTTGCTCAACAAAGACTTTCCCCTCCCCTGGCTGAGCTTGCACCGTCCCTCGAGCGGCGGGGAGACGGCGTCCTCGGTCTGGTTGAGCAAGGTGATCCACCATGCGTCCTCGTAGTACAGGTAGAACTTGACAGCGTGCACTGGCTGAACAGCATGGACGGCGCGGTAGACGCTCTCGCTCACGCCGAGTGATGGCGAGGCGCGAAGAATTTCTAGGAGCGGGTACTGCGGGACCGCGAGAATCACGAGTTCCGCTGCAATCGGCGGCCGTGTGGCAAAGGACACAACACCGCTCTCAATGGATGTCACAGGCTGGCCTGTGGTCACTCGCACTCCTGCTGCAACGAGCTGCTCGAGCATCACCTCGAGGAACTTGACGTAGCCGATACGGTTGCCATCCGAGTCAACGATGACCTTGCCTCGGCACGTGATTGGGTCCTGACCGACGGGGGCTGCGCGCCTCATTCTGCCAGGAAGGGGGAGTGGCGGGGCGGCGGCGGCACGGGTAGGGCGTGTCAGAGAGACACGTGCAGATGAGTGGGAACGACCAAGGGGTAATATGGAGGAGCTGAGAAGGAGGAGAGAGCACCGTCGACGACGAGATCCTTCTGGTCGCCGAGGCCCCTCAGCGACTTGATTCTGCCGAACATTTCAGAGTCAGCCTCAAAGATGCAGACCTCGCTGGCGTTGATGCCGGCGTCGAAAATCATCCGGTAGGCCGTGTAGAGGCCGCCCGTGCCTCCACCAACCACGACATTTGCGCAGGAGGCGATGACAGCGGGAGGGGCTTCGGGCGTAGGCGGGCTCAGGGGGGGTGCAGGAGGTCCGCTTACAGCGATGACCTCGACCGACACAGCGCTGTCGTCGGAGGCGGTGCAGCAGGCGCCGCTCAGGAAGGCGTCTCTAACAGCGCCGCATGTGGACGGCGTTTCAAAGGCCGTGACGAGGGCCAGCTGCAGCAGCACGAGGACAAAAGGGACAGAAGGGAAGCTCCGCATACTGCTCTTTACTCCGAATGGGGGGGTATAGCGTCGGACGTGCGCATTTTCTTTTTTGTGGACCTGTGTTAGTGCCAGTGCGCACCAGTCCCGTGCCCAGTGTTGTGCGAGGGAGTTTTGTTGTAAAATTCTTTTTACATTTCTTTCTGTTTCGAGAGAAAGTGTTCCTTTGCGGCCCCCCCAGAGCTACTGGTAGTGCTAGTGGTACTTAGGACGGCGACCGCCTCCACTGTGAACCACTTTTGATGCCTAATCTCAAAGTATAGCCAGGGGGGATACCCGTAGCCGAAGGCCCCCGCACGGGGGGTCCCGGCCGACGTCATGCGCGTCCGCCAAGGGTCCGGGGTCGCCCAGGCAAGTGGCCCAAATCCGATGAGTTTTCCAGGTGTGAACAGCTGTTGAGAGGTGTGAGTTCATCCCGGGCGGGGTGCGGGACGGTAGTCCCGCAGAGAAAATTTCGTGCTGGGGCACTGAGATCGCAGTTTTATTAGTCCACGGCGGATGCCAGCTGCAGCTGCGAGGAGACACGCAGTGCCTCATTCGAGCATGCATCAGCGTCCTTTCTGCTCGCATCACGCATAAGAGAAGCCGAGAGGCGCGAGGTCCTCCAATTTGCCGGATCAGCAGCGCGGTCTGGACCGTGGCTGTGGGGTATGCATTTGCCCCCACAGTCTGAATGGACCGACGGCCGAGCCCATACTGTGGTCTGTGCAGCCATCTCAAGCAGTGAAGGGGATCGGATAAGTTGCGCATGTCGTTCACGTTCTTCTGCCGTGCATGCCAAGAGCGTTGAACAAATTCCACCGACTTGAGTGGCCGTGGGTTGAGGCACACCGTGGGCGTTACTGCATACTGGGATGGCTTGCCTGCCTTCTCTGATTGGCATGCGAGGACGATGTGCTGTCGTCGAGGAGCAGGATTGCTGGTTGCTCGTCGTCGCTCGATGCGTGGCTGGACGTGTAGCCCTGACCCGGCAAGCTGTCGTTGTCGGACTCTTGCCCAGGCGACTCGACAGGAGGACTGATGAGCTCAGCTATCATGTTTTGCGGCGCTTAGACGACGCTGAACGCTTCGCTAGCCGTTCACGCTTTGCCAAATCTTCTATGCATTGGAGTTCTAATTGGAGTTGGTGTGCGTGATTTTCTGTGCTCCGCCGGTAGCGTTCGGCCCTAATATCTTTCCTTCACAGGTAAAAGGAACAAACATCGCGCTCTCGCGGCGCCCACAGCACAGTTACGCGTGCAACCCTCGGCAGCTGCAACAGTGCGGTGCTCGGCGTGCTCTCGCCTACAGTGCTAACTGACGCAGTATGGCTGCAGGGACAAGCACGGAGGCGATGAACCGAGCATGCAGCGTTTGCCGCACTGCCTGTGCCGTGGCACGCTGCATTCCAAGAGCACAGCAGGGCCGGATGCGAGCAAGTGCATGCAGTGTTTTGGTTCCGGTGTGCAGTGCTTTGGTCCAGTCATTTACCAGGCCCTCTGCACATCAATCGGCTCGGCAAGGAGCTGTCTACTGGTGTCGTCAACATAGGACTAGGGGAGCCCGGACCTCGACCTTCCTACGTGCCAGCCGAGGTCTTGCCCGTGCCAGAAGGCTACGTCCCGTCCACAATAGATGAGAGTGCGCAGCAACAAAAGTGGGGCTCGCGTATCGGCGGCGAACACCATGGAGCAGACCTTTGGCACCTATACTCCACGCTGGCGGCTCCTTTGGCAAGCTGCTGCCTGCTGCGGCGACGGCGGAGATTAGGCTGCGGCTCATCCGAGTGCAGGTGGTTGACCCCGGCCATCTACACCTCCCTGGCCTACGAGCATAAATGTCTTCCCTCCCCCTTACACACAGGATTGACGCTGCTCTCGGCGCTCGCTCCCTCCTCGCCGCCGCGAGAGGACCAGGCGTGCCCGCGCGCCGCGGGGGCTCTGCAGACAGCCAGATAGCTCCGCGAGGTCGGACTGACTTTTTCAGACTGAACTATTCTGGGTACCAAGGGTATGTGCTGCTAGATCTCACTGAGCTGAGCTCATATCTGCCTTTGGTAAGCCGTTTTGAGTTCGGGAATGTCTCCGGTAAGCTGTTTCCGTGTACGGAGGGCCGCGTCCGGACGCGCATGACGTCGGCCGGGACCCCCCGTGCGGGGGCCTTCCCGTAGCCCCCAAAGTGAACTGCCTGATCGACTCCCCGGCACACGGCGGAGGAGGAGGAAGACAGCACAACCCCGGGCGGGAAGAGCACAATGCTCAGGGTGGGACAAAACACCGACAGACGAGAGAAGAGGCCACAAAACAGACAAGCAGAATGGCAAGAGAGAGACGCTCTGCAGGCGAGCCCAAGGGCCTCTTGGGCCCTCGCGTCTCTCTCTCTCGATTCGTTACACCGATTCGACAATCAATGCGGCGGGCCGATTTCGACCCATCACAAATGTGGGAAGCCAAAAACCTCCTTTGGCTTCCCACACAACCCCCCCTTCCTGGGGGGAGTAGCAATGAGGTAGTCTCTGCGAAAACGCTGTCCCAGTGCATTCGCCCAAGAGGCTTCCGTGTGTGGACTCGCAGCTCCGGCTGGATGTCGGCGACCTAAAGCTCGGCGGTCGTCGCTTCGCGCCGGCCGACCGACTCTTGGTCACTGAGAGAGACCGCAAGAATTGCGACTCGCCGCTTTCCTCCCGCTGTGATTCTGTGTGAGCTCTGTGTCTTGATTTGCCAACAATAAACCTAAACTGAGAAAGAATTCTTCAGAACTGAGAAAGAACTGAGAAAGAAGACAAGGCCGAAAGCGTGGCAAACTTCACTCATTGAAACGGTAAACCGCCACGACGCACGCACCATATGATGGAGGCGCGACAGCTCCTCGTGCGCGAGGGGCTTGCCTCCGGCCTCTCGCATGACGCAGCGGAGCAGCGCGCCATCGAGATGCTCGAGCTGGATGGCTCCGACTCCCACGGCTGGGAGCGGCAGTGGGCAGAGCTCGAGGCTGCGTGGAGCGGCGAGGAGCGTCTCGATGCGGCGCAGCCCGCCGCAGAAACCAGCGGCTCGTGGAGAGAGAAATCCAGCGGCTCGTGGAGAGTGGAGCGATACCCGACGAGTGGGTAGCACCGCTCTCGAGGCGAGCCGCGCAGTTCGTCAAGCTTCTGGCCGAGCGGCGCGGGGCGGCAGAGGCGCGGCGACGGCAGTGGAGGGAGGCGACACCGGAGGGACGCAAAGCGCTCGCGGCCAACATCATACAGTGCCGTAGTCGTGGCTGGAAGGCACGCGAGCACTTTGCCTGGCTTTTGCGCGAGCGGGCGCGCTTGATTCGCGAGGAGGCTCGGCCGGCCTTGAGGTGGTTCCGCCAGCAGCTAGCCCAGGGGCTGTGGCCCTGCGAGCGCAGGAAATGCCGCGCGTGCCGGGGTCCAGCCGGCCCCGCTCGGGGAGTTGAAGGCGGCCGCCGGTGGTGACAAGGGTCTCCGGAGAGGCCTCAACGCACCACGCGAGTGGCGGCCGCCACTCCGACGCACCGCCGGTGGCGCTGCGCAGAGTGCGCTGCACCACCAGAGGTGTGCCCAAGGCCAAGCCACGAGATTTCGTGTACTAACTATACTACAACCACTACAATCGCTACTCCTGGTACTGCTCCGTCCACCAGACGGCCGCGCTCCTTGCACCCCCTAGTGCACCCCACGACCCCCGTAAAAGAAAGAAACCGGAGTCTAGGGAGGAAAAGAAAGAAAGAAAGAAAACAGAGCTCCCAAGGGAGGATGAGGACGGCACTCCGCCACCACACAGGGATTTTAAGGAGAGCGTCCGCCTCTTCCTATCGGTGTAAGGCTGGGCGGAAAAAAATTCTTTTGCACAACACGCCCGACTGACCTCGCCACTTGACCGAGCTGTGCAAGTCGGTGACATTCATGCGCCCGTTTCTCCTCTTCCTCGCGCTGATTGCCACGCCGGCGTTCGCGAAGATGGGCCTCGGCGTCGACGTGTGCGACATGAGCCCAGTGCAGTCGTGGCTGTCGGCCTCGGGACTCGCAGCGCCTGCGGAACTGCCCGAGCTGAAGGAGGTGATGTTTTCGGGCAACGAGGACATATGCGGCAAGAGCTTCGTCGGCAACAAGCTCTTTGGTTCCGCTCCGGACGTCTCGTGGGGTGGTCGTCTGGACAGTATCCCGCTCGCGCATCACTTGAAGCACACTGTCGTGCTCTTGGACATCGACGCCGAGGACGGGCCGTATCTGCACATGCTCGTCACCGACGCCCGCAAAGGCGTCGGCTCTGTGGCTGGGCAGCCCGCCATCCGCTGCACTACCGACATACTCACGCGCCTCGGCCGCGCCGGTCCCGCAGGCAACGTGTGGCGCGGCAGCACGATGGCGATGAACTACCAGCCGCCACGCGCGACGCGCGAGGCGCACAGGTACGTCTTCCTGCTGCTCCAGCAGCAGCAGGGTCACACGGTGCTACAGCTTCCACGAGGCGAGAGCCGGCACTCGGACCGCGAGGTGCTGCGTACCCGTAGCCTTCTTTGCGTGCCACTCCACTCTCAGTCTCACACTCTCACTCCCTTCGCTCGCGCCGCCAAACCCGCATGATGGCATGAACGAGGGAAAGCATGAACGAAAGACACTCGCAAGTCGCCTCGCGAGCGCTGTGTCGCCTGTGCGTGGTCGCTTGCCTTGCAGGCGTGGTCGCTCGAGCGCTTCCTGGCACACAACGGCGGGCGGCTCACCCTGGCGGCAGCCTCCTGGTTCTCCTACAAAGGCAAAGACAAGACCGAGCTCTAAGAGGGTGAGATGGGAGGAGCGCGAGCGCGAGCGCTGGCTTGCGTCTCGGGGACGACCAGAGAGCGGCGCGAGTAGCGTGCGCGCACGGGGCTGGCTGACTTTTCTGTCTGTGAGTTCTGTGAGGTCTATACCTAGCTCCTAGGGCAAGGCCCCCGCCGCTCACACGGACGGACAGCAGTGGGCTTTTTGGGCGGAACGCGCGCCACCTCCATCCATGGTGTCCGCCTTTCTCGACACATACCCCCGCTTGAGCCCAATCCAGCGGTGTGGCGGCGTGAACGAGCAGAGCACGTGTGGGGCGCCGACGCCCGGCACACATGGACCAAGAGGAGATCGCTCGCAAGATCAAGCGAGCCAAGGAGCTCGCGGAGCGGCTTTCGGGTAAGCTCGGTGCAGTGCCGCAAGCACCTCCGCAGCAGGCGCCGCCGCCGCCGCCGCTCCCGCCGCCGCCGCCGCCGCCGCCGCCGCAGATCGGCGGCATGAGCTTCGCGCCGCCACCAGCCTCGGCGCTCGCAGACTCCTTTCTCGCGTCGCTCGGCGCACCACCCGTGTCATCGGCTGGCGGCGGCGATGCCGGCGGCAGCAGCCTCGTTCCCTCGCTCGGCACCGCAACCGGCCCATCGCTCGCTGCCGCGCAGGCCGCGGCGGCGGCCATCTCCGCCAGCCTGAGCGCGCGCGCCGGCACCGGCGCGAGGACCGGGTGGGATGTGCAGCCCTCCGCTCTCGACACCGCCCTGGCATTTGCCGACTCGCTCCAGACGTCGGCGCCTCCGCGTCTGCCGGCGCCGCGCCACCCGGCACCTGTGCACCGGACGCTGGACGAGCTGCTCCAGCGCGACCGCGACCGCATCGCCGCCGCCGACGCGCGCAACCTCGCCTACGTCCTCGAGGAGGAGAGGCGCAAGAAGGAGCGCGCGCGCGCGGCCGCCGCCGCCGCCAAGGAGCAGGCCGCGGCGGCGGAGAGCGCGGCGGCGAGCGCTGCGGCGGCCAACGCGGCGGCGAGCAGGCGCACGGGCGCGCAGCAGCGCGGCAACGCGCACCCGGGCGCCTGCTCCGTGTACGTTACCGGCGTGCCCCCCGACGCAACCGGTGCAGCCTGGAGGAGGAGGAGGGGGGGGGAATGGAAGGGTGTGGTCTCTTCACGGCGCGGCGGTGTGAAGCGCAGGCCCGGAGCTGGAGGAGCACTTCAGCGTCATCTCGCCGGTCGCGCGCGTCAAGATGTACCGCCACCCGACGACGAACGAGCCGAAGGGCGACGCTCTCGTCACGTACACAAAGGCGCCACTGCCCAGACGCCGCCGCACTCCAAGCCTTGCACATACCGACGGGACGGGCCCACACTCGCTTCCCTCACCACTCGCCCGCCAGACGGCCTGGGCGAGCCTCCCCAGCCGCCCTCCCCAGCCGCCCTCTCCGCCCCCACCCCCTCTCTCCGTCCCTCTGCTCCCGCCGGCGCACCTCGACCCCCCCCCCCACCCCCCGTCGCGGTGCCCTTTGCGCAGGACGCCGCCGTCATGGGCGCCGTCCAGCTGCTGCACCGAAAGATGCTCCGGCCTGGCATCGCCCTCTGCGTCTCCAAGGCGGTGTTTGGCGGCGCGCCCGCGGCTGCCGACGCGCCCGCCGCGCCGCCGCCGCCTCCGCCGCCGCCGCCGCCGCCGCCGACGGCTGCGCAGCGAGACCAGTTCGCGCGAGAGCAGGCCCGGCTCGGCCTGTCGGGAGGAGGAGGAGGAGGTGGGGGAGGGGGAGGGGGAGGGTTGGTCTCGCTGGCGGCGGAGGACGACTCCCTGCGCGTGGTCGTGGTGACGGGGCTGGCCGACGCGTCGGAGGTGCCGGTGGCGGAGCGCGCGGCGTGGGAGGGCGAGCTGACGGATGAGTTGTGGGGCGAGATCTAGCCGAGATCTAGCCGAGATCTGGCCGAGATGTGGCCGAGATGTAGCTGACGGGTGAGATGTAGCTGACGGCAGAGGAGGGGCAGAGGCGGCGGCGAGCCCGGGACGCGAGTGGCTGCGAGTAGGCGAGTGCTGCCGGCACGGCGAGGTTGAGCGGATCGGAGTCTACGCGGGGCACGGGGGCGGGGGCGGGCTTGGCTACGGGCGCGGCGACGGAGGTCTGCACGAGCTCGAGACGCGGGCCGCGGTCCGCTTCCAGTCGCTCGAGGCGGCCGCGGCGGCGCTGGACGCGCTCGACGGCCGCCACTTCGACACGCGGCCGCTGCGGGCGGCTTTCGACGACGGCACCTACGCGGCGCGGCTGGACGGGTCGGAAGACACCGAGCGGCAGACGCGCTTCGGCTTTGGAGACGCGGCGGCCGCGTACCAAGACTCGCTGCGTGTGCTGCGGCTCGCGGCGGCAGAGGGCGAGCCGAGTCGAGTGTGTGAGCCGAGCCCACCCGGCGCCGAGGTCGGAGCGGAGGCTGGCCCGAGGGTAGGCGCGCCGAGCATCGTCTGCGACCGCCCGCTCGGCACGCTGCCGCACTACGACTACCTCCGCCCCGAGGCGGCGCCGGACGGCGTGGCGGCACCCAGCAGCAGCAGGAGCTGGCTCCATGAGGCCGCCGGCGTTGCACACACAGCCGCCACCGTTCGGCAATAGGGCTACTACCGGCGGCACGACGCCCCGCCCCCGTCGCCGCTCGACGTGTCGCGCGCCATACTGCAGCGCGCGTCGGACGCGGGCGCGCCGTTTGTGACGTGCGCCGAGTTTGTCGGCCCCGTGCCGCACTACGATTGGCGGCCCGACGGCCCCGACGGTGCGGGCTACTACCGGCACCACTTTCGCTCGCCTGCTCTATCTTGCAGCTAGTCTTTCCTTTTATGATCTGCTACTCTCTCTCACTGTAGGCACGCCGGGGCGCCCGTGGCGTCCGATCCGCGGGAGGCGCCCCCCTCGCCCGCACCTCGCCCCGCACCTCGCCCCGCACCTCGTCCCGCACCTCGCCCTCGCCCACCCTCCCGCCCCTCGCCCTTCCCGCCCTTCGCCCCTCCCTCCGTCGCATTTCCCCTCGCCCCTCCGAGCCCCTCGCCCCACTTTCAACGCCCCCCCCCTCTCGCGCCTTAGGCATCCCTCGGAGTGCTGCGCGAGGCGGCGGCGGCGGGCGCCGAGTTTGTGCTCTGCCCGGAGCATGTGGGCGACGTGGCGGGGTACGATTTTCGCGGCGGCCCCGACGGGACCGGCTACTACCGCCGGCCGGACGCGCCGCCGCCGGACGGGCGCGAGTACTCGCGCATGGTGCTGCAGCGGGCGAGCGCGGCGGGCGCCGAGTTTGTCGCGTGCCCGGAGCGCGTGATGGACCTGCCCGGCTACGAGTTCCGGCTGGTTGGGTCGGAGGGCGTGGGCTACTACAAGGTGGAGGCGGAGGCGGAGGATGCGCCGGACTACAACGACTTTATGGCGACGATGAAGGAGCTGGGCGCGGTGAGCTAGCGCCGCCGACACCTGGACTTCACCGCACTCTCGCTCGCGTGTTGTGTTACGGCTAAAAATACGCGCGCTAACAGCCTCTAGCCGCGCTGAATTCCCATTTTATAAAACATTCGCGTTCCGGACCGCTGGCTTGATCTATGATCTTGAGGTTGAGCAGACAGACACGCACACTGTGAAGGCACAGGCCACAGCTCTCCACTCTGGCGCCACTTTGTGTGGCAGACTCGAGCTGAGACCTCTGAGAGAGAGAGTGTCTTGTGAGCTTGTGTGTTGTCGGTCTGTGTGTGTGTGTGTGTCGCTCGAGCGTGTCGTGTCTTCTTTCTGTCTCGCGTCCACCCATACCGCGTTTCGCCTTGGCCTTCCTATCTATCTATCTAGTAAGACGAGCGCCGGCAGAGGCCCTCGCGGTCTGGTCTGAGAGAGAGCGTCGAGTTGAGCACTTGGAGCACTGAGCTCTAGTGTTTTTGTTTTTCAGTTTGGCCCCGCCCGCAAGCGGCGTTGTCACGGGGGCGGGCTCCTAAAGGTTGGCCGTGAGAGGCGCCCGAGGTTTGCGGGCGCGCGCGGAGGGCGGCGCCGGGCTCCCAGGGACCGGGGGTCCCGCGCCGGTGCCGCCGCCACCGGGGCCCCGCCACGCACGCCGTCCGTGGAGCGGCGCCCCGGTGTGCCCCTACCGGCAGTGCACGCGTCCGCGCTCAGAGGCGCTAGTTGCGCGTCCGCGAGAGGCTGGTTGACTCTCTCGCCCGCTGGGGATGCGGTTCACGGATCACGGGGCTTGCGTTGGGGTCCCCATCGTCCCCGTGGCGGCGAGCGCTCGCTCTGGAGGCCGAGTTGAGCCTCGAGCGCCTCCCTCTCCTTGTGCGCATCTTGTCTCCTTTTCCATGAGTTGCATCACCATCGCTCGCAGCTCGGCCAGCTCGGCCAGGGTGGCGGCGAGTACTTGCGGTGTGACGCCTGCGTAGCTCGCGTAGCCATTACGTCGGGCCAGTGGGGCGTTGTCCAAGTGACCCGACGTGTCCTCAGGGTTGTTTGGTATCCTTGGCAGAGCCTTCGTCACCGGGCCCGGCGCAAACACTCCCCCGCGACAGCGTGCCAAAGGATAAACCCGAAAACTATAAGTGGTGTCTCGTCTGGCGCGAGGCGATTCGTTTCGCAGTCAGCCAGGAGGGTTCTCAACTCTGAAAACAAAAGAGGAGAAAGCAACTCGAGAATTTGAGCAGAGTGTTGTCCAGTGTGGCAGTCTGTGAGAGTAACCAGTGTCCCAGGTTAGGTTAGGTAGGAAGGTGAAGAACAGTCAGGCTCGGACTGGACACCAGCGCGGTATGGGTGGACGCTAGACAGAAGAGGACGGCACGCGCGAGCGACACACAGACACCAGTCGACTCGCATCGGTGCCTCCATGAACGGCGGAGCTATTCTCGCGTCCACACCACACCTGGCTCCAACGTGGACACGCCCATAAGCTGGGGACACTACTAGGTCACGCATGGCATCAGAAGTTTTATCTCTGGGCCCCGAAAGGCATCTCTAGCAGCGTCGTTACGCATGCGCCCTCCCCTCCTGGGCGCAAGCGCCTCACATCTCGAAAGAGAGCGTAAGCTCTTGGTGAGAGAGAGATTTTTAGCAATACCTTAAAGAGGTTACAGGCGGATAAGGTCCGTTAGCGGGAGATCGGCGGGAGCGGCGCACGTTTCGAATTCGGCGGGCGTTTCGAATTTGTCGACGGACCGTTTCAGGTCTCTGCGCTCCCGTATGAGCGAGGCTGCCGACGCTGCCATGATTGAGGCTGCCGACGCCGACGGGCAATACCAAACAACTCTAACACTCAATGTTGCTTGCTCTGTGGTCCCCCCCCCTCGACGATCGAGTGCGCGTTCCGGCTGGTTGGGTCGGAGGCCTACTACAATCGACCCCAAGGCGGAGGCGGGCGAAAAAAAGTCGATCGCGCGTCCCAAAAGTCGCCACAAGTGGCGGCGAGTCGCAATTTCCGCCCGCCGTCCCGGCGGTCCTCCCGCAGCTCGCGCACATCTCCCTCTTAACCCACCTGTAACATCACAATAGGGAATTCCTAGTCGCCGTTGTGTGCGTGGCTAGCCCCACGGCGTGGAGTGTCAGCCCTAAAAAAGAAATTCTTCGAGGACGAGGTTCACCTCTGAAGCCCTGATGAAGAATTTTGCCCGAGCCGCGCCCATGCTCAGACCGCCGCTAACTCGAGCGAGCCCAAACAGGGCCGTGCCGCTCCTCTCCACCGTGATGCTCCACGCCATCATCGTCACAACGACGTGTAAGCCCTAAAAAAGAAATGCCCGGGCGTTCTCTCTGCCGTAAAATTCTCCGCGGGGGCCAGAAGGAGGCGCTTTTGCTCGATGATCACTCAGCCGCCGCAGCAGCGCCGTGGCCGCGCGGCCGTTCTGGTGCTCGGCGTGGCCCTCGTCGGCGTGGTCGCCCTGGCGACGTCGCGTGCCGCTCCGCACGCCCTCTTCTCCAGCCTCTTCAAGAAGAAGGACCGCGTCTCGTTCGAGGATGCGACGGCCTCATCGCAGTACCTGGAGCTCCCCGAGGGCTGCAAAATCAGGGGCGGCATGATCATCAATCTGATGAATGGCGTGATCGACACGGCGCTCAACCACCAGAAGCTGCCCACCCCACCCGACCCGCAGAAGGAGCGCAAGATGATCTCGATGGAGACTGGCACATCACTCGTCATGTACAACAAGTCGACGACGGCGATGCACGTCGGCCACATTGAGGTGGCGACCTGCTGGATCCCCGGCCCGGAGGGGAACAAGATCCTGCCCGACCGTCTCGCCGTCACCGTGACGGGCGTCCTCGGCACGCAGCACCTGCAGTATGACCTCGAGCAGGCGCGCGGGCCGCGCGAGTGCTAATCGCGGCAGCCGCGCGCCGAGAGGCGAGACGGCGGCGCTCACCCCCTCCTCGCCCCCGCCTCCCTCCCGCGCCGCAGAACTTCTTCGGCTTCACCCACGGGCTGGGCGGCGGCGAGATGAAGGTGACGGTGACTGGCTTCCTCCACCTCCCGCTCATCGACTTGCACGACCTCAACAACACGGTCAAGGGGTGCACGGGCAAGGTAGGGATGCAGTCGATGTGGGCGAGCGGGCCGCACGGGATCGAGGGCGACCCGGTCGCCCTCGACCGCGCCGACGTCGTCGCCGACCAGCAGATGATCCACGACATGTGCCTCGCAGCCCTGCCCCCTCGTGCACCCCTCCCTGTCCACCCTCCCCTTGCGTGTGCTTTGCTCACACGCGCCTCTCTCTCCCCTCCCCTCCTCGCACCGCCGTCCCTCTCTGCAGGTGCTACGGGCCCGCGTACTGGGACGACTCGTTTGGCCCGAAGCCGCCCGGCCTGGTGCCACTCTCTCCCCCGCGCCTCTCTCTCTGCACCACACAAGACACCCCGCGATCCCTTGCTCTCTCTCTCTCCTCCTCCTCGTGTCACTCTCTCCTCCTCTCGCCCTCCTCCTCCCTTCTTCTTCTCCCGCCCTCCCTCCACAGCCCCCACGCATGGGCGACACGCCTGAGGAGCGAAATCTCTAAGGGCCCGAGCAGAGAGGGCGACGGCCGGTCACGACGTAACAACGGAGACGCTGCCGATGACGCGAACCGAGGCACGGACCCCTGCGGGGACGGGGAGGGCGACAG